CACCCGCTGCTTTGTGGGCCCAGGTTTGGCTCATCTGTCGCTCAGCCTTTCAGGCCCCCGCCTTTCCTGTCATTTAGCGGGCGCAGCCCCCGCCTGTCCAGTCCGGAGTCGCCCGACTCCTCTCCGCCACTCACCCTGCCCCTCCTGTCACAGCGCCAGACCCATCCCGGCTGTTGTAGTCCGGCCCTTTCACGTCACTCAGCGCGGGGCCCCTTCCCCTGGCTGGTGAAGAAGACGTGAGGCCCTCTCCTTGGCTGGTCTCGCCATGGCGGCGGTGGTCCTGGTGCGGAGGGGATGGCGGCTGCTGCTGGTGGTGAGTGCCGCGGGGCTCGCAGCCCTGGGATCCCCGCAGCCCCCTAACATCCTGCTGCTGCTGATGGACGACGTGAGTGCGGGTGCCAGCGGCTTGTGGGGGGCGCCCTAACCCTGGTCCCAGCCCCAACCGTGACCCTAATCCTGACCCCACACCGACCAGTGACGGCAACCCTGACTTCAGCCATGACCCTAACCATGACCCACCCCAACCCTGACCCTGTGACCCCAACCATGGTCCTAACCAGTGTCCCAACTCCAACCGTGACCCTAACCCTCCCCCCAACCCTGACCATGACCTCAGCCCTGATACCAACCCTGAATGGCCTGGACCCCTGGGCCCAGGGGGAGAAGGAGGGGCTGCCAGGTGGACTGTCACCTGAGGGTAGATGTGCAGCCAGGCCTTCCCTGTGTACGTCTCTACTGTGGCTACCAGAGATGTAACATTCCCTGGGGCTCACAGCATTTCCACTGGACAGCTGTTTGGGAGCAGGTGGATTGGGGTGGTGGAGTTTTCCCCTAGAGGAGGGTGACACCCTTGGCCTGGGGGTCCAGGGGTGGGGCAGGAGGGGCTGTGCTGCTAGGCCTTTCCTGTAGGGTTCTTGGCAGCTGACACCCAATGAGCCCCAGAGGACTCCTGGCCAGGTCAGTGAAGCTGTACATGGATCTGTACACGGGCACGGTGGTGCACACCTGTAGTTCAGCCCAGACCAGGCAACCTACACAGAGACCTTGAGTCAAAAACTAAATAAATAAAAACAGGTTGTGGATGAAGCTCAGTGCAAAGACCTGGGTTCAATCCTCAGTATGGAAAAAACAAAAATAGAAAACAACTTTTTTATTTGAAACTCCAGAAATGAACTCAAACTCAAATGAATTTAAGCAAAGCCAAGGATTTCCTCAGTGGGTATGGCAGTGCACACCTGTAATCTCAGCTGCTCAGAAGGCTGACACTTGAGGATCACAAATTCAATGAGAGCTTCAGCAATTCAGTGAAGCTCCATTTCAAAACAAAAAATCAAAAGGCCCGAACCTGTAGCCCAGTGGCAGAATGCCTGCCTCCCATGTGTGAGGCCCTGGGTTCCATCCCCAGTACCACCAAAAAGCGGAGGGTGTGGAGAATTCTCTGGCTCTCCCCAACAAGACAGAGCAGGCCTCCCAAGCTGTAGGAGGTGAGGCCTGGTCTTCTGGTCTCGTGGCTGTGCCATTCCTGGTCTGGCCCTGTGATGACGAGTCATGGCCCTGTGGCAGCGCCTAGTGATTCAGGCTCACCCATCCTCAATCAGCTGACCTAACAGAACAGCAGCTATCCTGGCTCACCAGGTCCTCAGCCTGGCCTGGGCTGGACCCTAGAGTCGGGCACCCTGTGGGGAGGTTGCTGACCTGCCTAACTCGGCCACAGGGCCCACTCCCAGAAGGGCTACCTGGGCTGAGGAGGCCATTTGGATTTATCTGATTTTCCTGGCCAGGGTGCAGGCAGGTGCCCCAAGTGGCAGCTGAGAGGGTATGGCCTCAGCATGTAGAAGGCCTTAGGCTACCTGCCCTGGCCACACACTGTCCTGCCCGGCAGGCTGGCTGCCTCTGCCAGGATCTCAAGTCTGGACCTAGAACAGGCAGCGCCATGGCTCTGGCCCATGCAGGCCCAGCACCTGTGGAGGACACATTCTCTCTAGCATGGATTGTGCAATGACCATTGCCCACCGTGAGCTGGCTGCCCAAGGCCTGGTCTCTCCTTGGTCTGGGCATTGCTAGCCAGGCTGCCCCTTCCTTCTTAGAGGATGCTAATGCAGGAGAGGAAGTGCCCCAAAGCTAGTGCACTGCACCCTGCAAGGCCTATTCTCCTTCTGGCCACCTGCTGGTGACCAATGGGTAGCTCTGCTTCTGGTGGGGGGATTACAGTGCCACCAACAGCCAGGGCAGGGATGGCAAAGTCTGGTCACTGAGTGTCCTCAGAGCCCACGCACATGAGTGGGGCCTGTTGGGTGAGTTCAGAAAACACAGCAGCCCACCTCCACTAAAGCCTGGGCCAACTGAGATTCCGGGTACACGGTATCTTTTCCTTACGTGGAGGACACTGGAGTCACACATCTCAGTGGGTACCAGACCCCAATGAAAAGGCAGGGTCTCAGGCAAAGGGGTTGTCATTCATGGCCACAGCCCCCTCCTCTCCTGTTGAGTGTAGGCAATCATCTAGGAGTCTTTGGCACTGTTTTCTTTTTTTCAGTGCTGGAGAATGGACCTCCCAAATGCTAGGCCTGCCCTCTGCCGTTGAGCTGTATCCCTAGACCTTGATTTTTGAGCCAGTCTTCCTGAGTTGCTCAGGCTGGCCTTGAACTCATGATCTTCTTGTAGTAACTGGAATTATGGATGGGCATCACCTCGCCTGGCTCTGAAATTTTTTTTCCCCCCGGATCTGGGGGTCGATCTCAGGACCTTGTGAGACAGGCGGTGGCACCACTGAGATACATCCCTGGCCCTCTTTGGACCTTTAGACAGGAGGAAAAGATGCTTCACTCTGGGGGGCTGAGCAGGTCCCAGTAGGTGGTCATGTCTTTAACCTCTGCGCGGGGACAGTAACATCCCCATTTCTATGGCTAAGAAAGCCATCGAGTAACAGAGGAATAGGTGTTGAGCTGAAGGGGTTCAACAGTCAGCCAGGACTTGTCCTCAGGCCCTGGAGAGCAGGTTTCACTGTCTGGCATCCGGGTCCAGGGACTGTGGATGCATCCCCTCCATCCTGTAGTGGGAACAGCTTCCACGCCCAGACATCAAGATTTACAAGGACACCTGCCCTCATCCTGGGCATCTGGAACCTTGCCACCTGCAAGGCAAAGGTCCCCCCCATGACCACCTCCTGCAGAAACCCTGCCCCAGCTCTTCACCAACTTCCTGTTTGACATCACGCCCATATGTCTTCACTGGATGCGCTGGGAAGTGAGCTCCCAAGGACTCCTCGGAGAACTGTGGAAGTGGCCTGGTCTCCTGGCCAAGGCTGGCTTTGCTGCCCGTTCTTTCACTGCAGGAACCACGGCCTCGAGTACCTGCGGGTGACCTGTGGTTCCTGGAAGCGAGGGTTTCTACCCTCCCTGCTTCCCAGTGTCGAGGGCTGACAACTGAGCCTACTACTGTAAAACATTTCCACCTGCCATCCAGTCTGCTCCTGGAGTCCTGGGAGCAAGTTAACAGATCCCTCAGGAGCAGATCCAGGAGCAGCTCCTCCCCACAGGCCTTCTTGGGGCACCCAAGACTCTTGACCCAGAGGGCTCTGCCTCCTGAGGCAGCAGCCACAGAGAGCAAAAGGAAGCAGAATGTGCAGGCTCACCTGGTGCCTCAGGTGCTATGATTGCAGCCTACTGTCTGCCCCTCTAAGGTGCCAGGGTGTGCCTAGCTCCAGTGTTCTCTTGCAACCAGGATGGCCATGTGGCCTAGATCTGGCCACTGATGCTCTTGTGAATGACAGAGGGGCAGACCAAGGCCCTGAGTGCCTTGGCCCTGCCTCTGCTCCTCCCAGCTAGAGCGTGACCCTCTGCCCAGAGGTGCAGCCACTGGCTGTGCTGGTAAGGAGAAATCTGCACAGGTTGGGGGAGCTTGAGCTTTGGGCAGCTGCCTGTCCCCTAGAGCAAAGTCCCTGCTGGGGTCACCGGATCCCTGGACATGTAGGTGCTCAGGGCTATGCTCCCCAGCTGAGCCGCTGAGGCACCACCCGTTCTGTCCTACTGCCGCTGCCTCAGCCCCGCCCTCCTCACCCTGCTTCTTCCTGCTCAGGCTTCTCTGTCCAGGCCAGGCCCTGTGGTATCCATTGTCACCAAGTGGAATGGCCATTTTAGTAGTTTCAAAACCTTCTGGGCAGGGCCAGACAGAATCACGTCTCACAGGTCCTACTGCCAAAGGAGGCTTTGCAGGTGAAGTCCAGCCTGAGTCAGCCCTGGGGCCCAAGTGTCGCTGGTTGGGAGCCTGAGGGGGTAACAAAGGCCTCTCCTGAGAGCCAGAGTCACACTCAGGTCCCATCCTCACAGCCCTCTGGCTCCTGTGGCCTGGGACAAAGACTGGGCTGCTGGCTCTCCCAGCCGGCTCTCCTGGAACACCACTGGGCACAGCCTCCCGACCTGGCCCTGGGGCCCCTGACCTCGCTGCACTCTTGAGTTGTCTCGCTCACTGACTCACTAGAACCTGAAAGAACAGAAAGCCAGTGCCTCTAGGCCCTGAGAGCCGTGGACTGCCACCGGCTGAGGCCCCAGGCAGGAGCCAGGGCACCCACACTCTCCTTTTTAGAACCCCACACTGAGGCCCCTAGAAACCCCGTCTCCACCCACCCACTGGCCACAGACAAGCACAACCTCCTTCCTCCCTCCTTGGCTTTGTCTTTCCTGGACGGTCCATGCCTTTCCTCTTTGTGGCTGAGTACTATTCCACAGTGTGTGTGTCAGTTTCCTGAGGCATCGCAGATTACCGAAAGCTGGTTGGTGTGAAACAGAAGGGCATCTACCAAGGTGCTGGGGCCAGTGTGTGGCAGAGCCACCCCCAGCCTCCTGCCTCCACACTGCCCTCCCAGCATGTCTGTCTCCACAGCCTCCTCAGGGGACTTGCTGCCCCAACCCATTGTGACCCTGTCACAAAGCATGATGCCCACAAAGGCCCTGTTTCCAAATAAAGGCACATGTGTGCCAAGTGGCTGTGAACTCAGGGGGCGGAGTGCACACCAGTGACTTGGGTTGGCCCCGCCTGAGGCTGGCTGGGAGCGCCCCACCTTCTCTGAAGGTCTGACTCTGCATACAGCTCTGTGTGCTGGAGCAGGCAGAGGCTGTGGAAGTTGAGGAGGGCAGTGCCTCCCCAGGGCAACCCACGCAGATGGAGCAGAGCAGAGGCCAGCCTGGCCCAAGCGGGACATAGTCGGCCCCCAGGACAGAAGTGCTCTGCGCCCAAAGGGTTCAGTCTACATCTCTGTGCTCTTCCTGCAGATGGGGTGGGGTGACCTGGGAGTGTACGGAGAGCCTTCCAGAGAGACCCCGAACCTGGACCGCATGGCTGCAGAGGGGATGCTGTTCCCCAACTTCTACTCTGCCAACCCCCTGTGCTCACCATGTAAGTCAATGTTGCTGCCCACAGGGACCTAGCCAGCCAGTGGAGCACCAGCCCCACATCCATCTCCCCAAGTCTGGCAAGGTGCAGCTACCTGGGCCTTGAGCCTTCTGGGACCCTTCAGGTAGACCTGCGGCACTGACGGCTGCTCAGTCCTGTGCCTCACAGAGTAGCTGTCCCTCCTCCCCAGAGTCCCTCCTGCCAGGGAGGTGGTGACCTGGGAGAAAAGCCACGGGTCAGTGAGGGGTATGCGCTGACCAAGGTGTCACCTGAAGAGCTAGACCAGGTCTGGGTCAGGGCTGAGCTGTGCGTACCAAGTGTACCTCCAGTCAGCAGGAAGTTGTGCCTGTACCCCAGGGGTGAGAGGCCAAGGGGATGGAAAGCCCAGTAGCCATGCCACGTACATGCATGATGTGGGCAGCACCGTAGCTATGTGTGAGGTGCTGCAGAGCTGGCCGAGGTCCCATCAGGCACATCCTCACAGTGTCTCTGTTTGTTCCCTCCTACAGCTAGGGCAGCCCTGCTCACTGGACGGCTGCCCATCCGCAATGGCTTCTACACCACCAATGCTCATGCCAGGAATGGTAGGTGCTGCCCCTCTGCGTCCTGGGGTCTAGGCATGGCTGTAATGGAGTGCAGGGAGGGCAGAGCCAGCTGCAGCCATCCCGGCCTTGGCTGTGCAAACCCTGGCTTCTGTCCTGAGGTCATCTGAGGACCCATCCCAGCTGTACACTGGAAACAGCCTTCAGAAGGGGAACAAAGCTAGGACACCCAGCACCCCCTCCCACTGCTACACCCTGCCCCTCAGGCACTACCCAGCCTGGCCCGAGAGTGGAATGTCCCTTCCTCAGGGACTTCACACCCTCTTGGGGTGGCAGAGACCTAAGGAAGCAAGGTGGTAGGAGGTCTCAGCAGGGAATGTTCTGGAAACAGTGCTGACAGCCTAGATGCATCATCTAGGAATGTCTCCCAGAAGAGATGGGATTGCAGGGGCCCTGGGAAGAGGCAAGGGGTGAGGCTGGGCACAGCCTGCATGTTGTGGTAGTGAACTACTGCCAGGCTGGAGCAGGAGGCTGAGACAGGCAGAAGTCCTGTGAAGGGGGTGGGGCAGAGTTCGCCCTCCCACTTGGAAATGTGCAGACCTGGAGGGGTGCAGGATCCCTAAGAGGACTGCGTGGACGTGCCAGGTCCCAGCCTTGCTCTGCCTGGTGGCCATGAGGGGCGGCACATGCTCATACACAGTCTGCCCTTCCAGCATACACCCCCCAGGAGATAGTGGGCGGCATCCCCGACTCCGAGCGCCTCCTGCCCACACTCCTGAAGGAGGCTGGCTACGCCACCAAGATCGTGGGCAAGTGGTGAGTGGGCAAGCAGGGACTGCCCGGCTGCACATGGACCCTGATTCCAGACCCACCCTGGTGGCCACGGTCAGGCTCAGCCCTGCTGGGCTGCTCAGTGGCTGCGAGCAGAGTGACTCAGGGTGTGCATCTCAGCCCCCACTTGTCCCTGTGCTCTTGCCTTCTGCTCCAGGGCTGCCACATCATTGCACACGGTGCCCTGTGGGGGCACACTGCTGCTGCAGAGGGTGCAGTCTGGGGGAAAGCTGCTCAGCTAAGAGGAGGCACAGCAGGTGCTCGAGAGGCTACACTTTCCTGTTGCAGGCACCAGAGTTCCCATACTCCCTGGGGGCTCAGGTGTGAAAGCTGCGGCTGTGGAAGCTCTTCCCACCTGCACAGGAGATCCTTGCCAGCCCCACACGCTGAGCAAACTGCCCCCTGTGCCTCTCATCACTCACCTCTAGGACAGCTTCTCCACAGATGTTGACATCTGTGGGGAATCTGCTGATCCTGAAGGATGATCGTAGCAACAGCCAGGCAGCTGGAGACTCCTTGGGGACAAGCGGGAGCTGCCGGCTGAGCTGAGCTGTGGCCAGGAAGTGTGGCAGGGCAGCGGTGCCAGACACATTGGGCTGTGGGGTCCTCTTGCTGGGGCCAGGGAAGCCCAGGGAGCCAGGTGGAAGGCTCGAGGACTGCACCAGGCCTCAACGTGCCAACCGAAGGGACCAGAGCTCTGCCCTGGCCTGCAGCCTCTAGTTCACAGTACTGATTCAGGTGCCAGGGCCTGTGTCTGCAGGAGAGGTGTGACCAGGAAGCAGGAGCTGGGCACACCTGGAGCAGCAGTACTTGTGGACTTGGGACGGCTGGCACTGGCCTGTACCTCCACCTGAGAAGGACCCCAACTCACTTTATCCTATACAAAGGCCTCTGTGCTACTGGACACACACACACAGGAGGCCACACGTGGCCAGTCAGCTGCCCACTGTTGGCAGGGCCAGGCACTGCAGCAGTGCCTGAGGGCACCCAGGCCTGGCAGGGTGAGAAGATGGAGATCCAGCTCCAGAACCCCGGGCAGGTCCTGCACATGGAGCCACCCACCCCTCTGCCAGGCTCTTCCCTCAGAGCAGGGACACTCAGCCCAGACAGAGAGCTCACCTGAAGCACAGATGTCTGGGGCTAGGTCTGTTCTTCCCACAGTGGCCCAACCTTCCCTACACTCCCGGAACCCAGCCACAGTAACTGTGGCTGTGGGGTAACTGTGAGCATGTGGGGGCCCGGGCAGGGTCCTGGGCATGTCAGGGTGAGGCCTCCCACTACATCCACCAAGGCCTGTCCCTGTGCAGCTCAGAAAGGGAGCCTGGCCTTGGTGTCACTGTCTTCTAAGCATTAGCTTTTTCCAGCATTCATGGGACATGTATGCAGAACTCGTGCAGGCAGGTGAGGGCTGTGCTCCAGGTTGTGACACAGCCACTGCTGGAAGCCACACTGCTCTGAAGACCAGGAGGCTGGGTGCCCAGAACTGAACAGGCTCTGCTCAAGGGCACTGAAGCCTAGGCACCCCTTCTTTGCCTGCTGGTGGAGGGGAGCTATGAGAGTAGGTGTCCCCGAGAGAAGGGGTATGTGGAGTGGGTGGGGTCTGGCAGGGGCACCACCAGCTATGCCAGACACCTGCAGTGGAGGAACCCAGTGGCTCCTGCACTGCCGCCGGTGTGGGCATGCTGCCGTCTTTCCAGCTGCAGCTCACGGCCAGCTGGGGACAAGAGCGCAGCCACAGTCAGAACTGTTGATGGCCCACTGCCCAGCCCTGCCACCTTCCTGGAGGTGACCCCGTGTGCGGACTTCCTGCAGGACACCTCAGGAAGCACACAGCCTTAGGTGTCCCTGAGAGGCTGCCGGCCCTGGGTAGGCGGGGTGGGCGTGGGGTCTGCAGGGCTGGCAGTGTTGGGAGATCGCACCCCAGGCCCATCCTCGAACGCCCTCCCCACCCACCACTGGAGGGATACCCCAGCCTCACTGTGCCAAGATGCCCTGGCCCTGGCACGGCAGCATTCAGCCAGGGCAGGGTGGTGGGTTCCAGCACTTTCTTCCGCACTCAGGTCTGGCTTTTTACGTTGCGTGCCCAGGGCTTTGCATACACCTGGAGCTGTGGTGCTTGTTTGTTCAACACTTATAAGGTAACGTGTCCCTGGTGGGGGTCCCTGAAGTTCCCGGTTCCTGTTTCTAGGCACCTGGGTCACAGGCCCCAGTTCCACCCCCTGAAGCACGGATTTGATGAGTGGTTTGGATCTCCCAACTGTCACTTTGGACCTTATGACAACAAGGCCAAGCCCAACATCCCTGTGTACAAGGACTGGGAGATGGTTGGCAGGTAACATGCTCTGTACCGCCCCAGCACGCAGTGGGAGGGCAGGGCCCAAGCCACCCGCCACATGCGCACATCTTGGGCATCAAGAGCCCTGGCTTCTGAGAGTCCTGCCCAGAGCTGGGGTTCGACCCTGCACCAGTCCAGACCATGGGCTCAGAGAGCCCTTTGGTATGCTTGAGTCAAAAGGGCTTGTGCAGTTTCAGCCTGGACTTAGGGAGGAGGCGCTGGGAGCAGCCTGATTGGGGCAGGAGGGAGGTCTCCCCAGAGCTGCCGGTTGGTGGCCCGGTGTGGACACTGCAGCACTAGGCCTGCACTGTGGTCGCATCTTTCTGGAGTTTTTGGCTTAACATTTATTTCCTCTCTCTCTCTCTCTCTCTCTCTCTCTCTCTCTCTCTCTCTCTCTCTTCCTCTCTGTCTCTCTCTTTCTTAGGGCTTGTGCAGTTTCAGCCTGGACTTAGGGAGGAGGCGCTGGGAGCAGCCTGATTGGGGCAGGAGGGAGGTCTCCCCAGAGCTGCCGGTTGGTGGCCCGGTGTGGACACTGCAGCACTAGGCCTGCACTGTGGTCGCATCTTTCTGGAGTTTTTGGCTTAACATTTATTTCCTCTCTCTCTCTCTCTCTCTCTCTCTCTCTCTCTCTCTCTCTCTCTTCCTCTCTGTCTGTCTGTCTTTCTCTCTCTCTCCCCTCACCAGCCCCTCTCACTTTGTGTGTGCAAACTTCATCTAAAAACTATACCTTCAAGCTAGGCATGGTGGCACAAGCCCATTCCCCCAGCTACCCAGGAGATGGAGGCAGGGGGATCCCAACTTCAAGGGCAGCCTGGGCATTTAGCAAGATTCTGTCTCAATAAAATAAGACAGGAGGTGAGGATGTAGCTCAGTGGCAGAGCACTTGCCTAGCACCCATGAGGCCAAGTTCCAGCTCCAGCAGTGCAAAAAAAAGAGTAGCTTTTCTGTACTATTAATTCCCATGCACCTAGCTCCCCACCCACCCGTGTGCAGTCCAGGGCCTCAGTGATCCAGGAGTCGCACAAGCACCACCCCAACCACCCACACCCTGGCCTGGTAACCGAGAGCTCTGCCCCCACGTGCAAGCCTCTGACAGGACCTGCGTCCAGGAGCAGGAGGCTTCCAAATGGGTTTGTCTCTCAAATGAAACATTTCCACCTAAACAAGGCCTGTGACCTCGCAGGGACATCAGAAGGGGACTTCATGGATGAATTCTGATTTCCCTCTGGATCATGTTTTCAGATTTTATGAAGAATTCCCGATCAATGTGAAGACTGGGGAATCCAACCTCACCCAGATCTACTTAGAGGTGAGGAGCTGGGTGGGCGCCGAGTGGGACCTGCAGAGAGAGGAGGGCCTGGGTGGGACCCGGGCAGTGACGGGCAGTTCCTTCACAGGAAGCCCTGGACTTCATCAGGCGGCAGCAGGCGATGCAGCGCCCATTCTTCCTGTATTGGGCAGTGGATGCCACACACGCTCCTGTGTATGCCTCCCAGCCTTTCCTGGGCAGCAGCCAGCGTGGGCGGTGAGTGCTGAGAGCCGCGTGGCCAAGCCTCAGTGCTGTCCCAGGAGCTCCCGAGAGCCGGGTGGTGGTCACTGTTGGTCCTACCCACATGGGCACTTGGGTCCCTGTCCTTGGCAAGGGCCAGCCTATCCCCTGTGCTCTGTGATGCACCCATCATCCTGCAGCCTGATGGGCTGTCACCATCCACAGGTATGGGGATGCGGTTCGGGAGATTGATGACAGTGTTGGGAAGATGCTGAGCCTGCTGCGGACCCTGAGCATTGCTGAAAGCACCTTCATCTTCTTCACCTCTGACAATGGTGCCGCCCTTGTGTCTGCCCCCAGCCAAGGCAGGTGCCTGGGGACCAGGAAGCATCCACACAGGGAGCCCCCGTGCTGAGGGCGCTGGGCAGGGCCTTTGCACCAGGGACCCCCAGGAGCTATGAAGACGGACCAGGGCTAGCTGTATTCGCTAGACCTTCCACAAGGGCACAGGGACCCGGGACTGCTGGCTGGAACCCTATTGCAGGGGAGAGGGCCTGAGTCACCATCAGTCAGCGCCATGTCTCCATAGGGGCCAAGGTCCCTGTTCCCTAGAATCTGCAGCCAGAGCCCCAACACTCACCCAAGACCCAGACCTGGCCTGGCTCTTTGTCCCCACCACAGGTCTCTGCCTCCGGCACTGTTCTGCCTCTGGCACTGCCTTAGAAAGGAGAATGGGAAGCAGATGGGCTAGGGCCTAATGGGTGATGGCTCCCCAGGTGGCAGCAATGGCCCCTTCCTGTGCGGGAAGCAGACCACCTTTGAAGGTGGGATGAGGGAGCCTGCAATTGCGTGGTGGCCTGGGCACATCCCTGCTGGCCAGGTGAGTCAGGGCCGCCATGGTGGCTGGTGCTGGTGGTTGTGGGTGCAGTGGTCCTGAGGGATGGGACTCATCAGCCACGGGCTGTGATCTGTGGACAAGTATGCAGGAGACAGTAGTGGGCATGGTGTGTGTCCTGCTGTGTTCCTGGCCTGGCCGGGCTTCAGCATCCACCCCTGCACTGGCTTGACCTGTCCGTCACCCCACAGCACGGGTCCTGAGCCTGGCACCATGTGCCTGCCCGCTGCCCTTCCTCCCTGGCCTTTCCCAGTCTCCCAGGGGTGCTGCTCCATGCTGGGGTCAGCTCTTCACCTCTGCGGTGGTAAGTGGGGGCCTGTAGTCCCCACATACTTGGGGATGGCACCACAGGCCCTCTTGTGGCAGCTCCTAGCGGCTCTAGTGCAGAACCCTTTCCTGATAACCCAGCCTCTGGGCAGCTGCGCCCCCAGCCCACTGGCCCCCATGGGCTTTGTGACTCCACTTGACCCTGACCCCGTGGTGTGTGGCATGTGGCTGCCTGAGTGTGGACCAGCTGGGTGGCCTGGTCAGGGCTGCAGTCTCTGGTGAGTTGGCCTTGTCCATTGCAGGTGAGCCACCAGCTAGGCAGCATCATGGACCTTTTCACCACCAGCCTGGTCCTTGCGGGCTTGACGCCCCCCAGCGACAGGGTGATCGACGGCCTCAACCTGCTCCCTGCCATGCTGCAGGGCCAGCTGAGGGACAGGTGGGTTCCAGTGACACATGCCTCTGCCCCAGCCCTCCCACCCGGTAGCTGGGGCAGTGTCTGCACAGAGCAAAGGGAGACCACGGGCCCCATGTGTGCGTGTGTGTGCGTGTGCGTGTGCGTACGCATGCACGTCTATGCACGTGTCACACACCCCTGCCTGCCCACCTGTAGTCCTGACTGCTCTGTGGCCTCAGGCTGTGCAGGAGGGGAGGACAGGACCCCTGCCTGTGCCCATCCTGCCCGGTGATCCCCTTTGCAGATCACCCCCTTTCCACCCGCATCCACCACTGCTTTGCTCACACAAGCTGAGATCTGGACAACTCCAAGGGGCACGGGTGTAGAAAGCTGAATAATGTAAGGAGAGTTGGAGGGACACAGAGTTCCCTGTGGGGCCTCTGGCTGGGAGAGGCATGCAGAGGAATTTATGCCCTTTTTTCAAAGTTGCTTACTTCGTGTTGAAACCTGGCTCAAGAGCTCAGTTACTGCGGAGGAGAGAAGGTGCTGGTCACCGGCTTCCCCGGGCCCACCTCTTCCTTCCCAGGGGCCAAGCCCTGCAGTCTCATCGTTTGCCTCCTTTTCTTCTTTGCTGGGAGTAGTCTAGGGGGGACCCCAGGGCCTGGCACACATAGGCAAGATCTGCCCTGAGCCACCTGCGGCCACTTTCCACATCTCAGGATAGCCCTGTCTCACCACAGCATCTCTGTACAGCGTCACCTGAAATCTGGCGTACCAGCCACGCAACCCCCGAGCCCTGCACGTGGACGCCAGCATGACCCTCCCCTCTCGGCCCACAGGCCCATATTCTATTACCGTGGGAACACGCTGATGGCTGTCACCCTCGGCCAGTACAAGGCCCACTTCTGGACCTGGACCAACTCCTGGGAGGAGTTCAGCCAGGTACAGGGCTCTGGTGCAGGTCCTGGGAGAGGGTGGATGGTGTCTGTCCTGGCCTGCTGTGTCCCCTGTCTGTGCTGGGACTGGGGTGCGTAGGTGTCCGGGGTAGGGCTGGGACACTCCTGCTGCCCTAATGTGTGTCCAGGGTATCTGAGGCTGCCAGGATGGGGTGGGGTTGCTGCAGGGATGTCCTACCCCCTTGCGGGGTGACCCAGGCTGCAGGCCCAGGGCCAGGTGGTCGTCAGTGTCCATATCATGGTGGCAGCCAGGTGCCCCTGCCCCCTCCACCACCTGGGCCACCATGGGCTTCTCTCCCATGCCTGCCCCACCCAGTCCCTTGGCTCATCAAGGCCTTTAGATAACATAAAAACTCTGCTAATTTGCCTTAATTGAGCAGAAAATCAGTTTAAGTTAATGAGAAATCTAAATACAAGAACACTCTGAACCAATTGGAAGGTAAATTGCAAACTGGTCCTGGAGTTTGCTGGAGATGAGAGGGAACGAGCTGGATGGTGGGCGGGGCCAGGGCCTGAAAGTCCCTGGCTGGGAGCCAGGCAGGGAGAGGATCTGTAGGAGACAGACTCGGACCACTGCCTACATCCTGCCGCTGCATACTGAGGGCTGCTCCCAGGCAGTGGCTGAGAGGGTGGAAGGAGCACTTCAAAGGATCAAGGCTGGCTGTGAGCTGGCCCTGGAGACAGGCCCTGGGGACACCCTCTGCCTCTCATCTTCGACCCCTGTGCTGTCCCTGGGCCCTTGGTCTGGCTGGTTTGGAGCAGGTCAAGGGCTAAGTGGGTGCCTCCCTGGGCCCTGCTTGTGACTGGGGACATGGCAGTTGCTCTGTCCTTTGGCCTCTGGGCTCCGGCCAGGCTCACCTGGGAAGGCTCTCCTCCACATCTGCACAGGTCTGGAGGCTCCCCAGCGGAGTCATGCTGCAGGCCTTGGGGTATCTGAGGGTACAGGTGTCAGGAGAAGCCCACCCTCAGACCTACCCTCCTGGGCTGGTGCTGGTGGCCAGGACTGGTGAGAGCTGAGGAGATGATCCCAGTGAGGGACGGGGATGCAGCCTGGCACCAGGTTGGATCCTTCCTCTTACAGATGGCTGTGGGGTGAGGACCCAGCTGGCACCCACCTGGGCAACTGCAGTGGGCACAGAGCACCTGATGTCTGCTCAAGGCCACAGCCTCCCATGACCACCCCACCCTCCTGGCCCTTTTTGCTCAAGACCCTGCTGCCCAGTCCACACAGCCTACACAGCTGTTGGGGCCTCTGTCCCCGCCATGGGCAGTGGGTACTGTCCTGTCTCACTGTGCGCCCGTCACAGCACCAACACTGCAGGTGACCTCCACTCTCCTGTCCCCTGGTGACTGCCGGGTGGTGAGTGGCAGGCCCACACCCCATGGCCTGTGTGAAGACCCAGGCAGTGCCGCATGACTGTGGGTGACGTACAGGGGATGGGACATGGCCACTTGGCCTCTGAACTCCTTGCCTGCATCCCTCCCTACCACCCACCTCTGAGTCAGCACCTGGCCAGCCACCACCTGTGCCCCCTGCTCTGGGACCAGGAGGGTACATCGTGCCAGCCAGGCTGGCACCCCTCAGACAGCACAGTCCTAAGCAGTGGCCGGGCCAGTTGGCAGGCTTTAATTATATAGTTTATTTGATTTGCATGCAAATCACAATCTCATCTTCATCTAGATGCGGACACCGCTCCAACTGTCTGGCGGTTCACCCTGCGGGTAGTGGCTTCTGTGGTGTGGGCCCTGTACTTCTCCAGCAGGGTGCTTGGAAGGGTGTGGCTAGTCTCCATGCTGGAGCCCCCTCGGTGCTGCCCTGGATACAGGCTCTGCAGCTCAGTGCAGACAAGAATTTCATGGTGTCTGACTTCCAGCTTTATTGGAAGCAGAGCGTAAACTGCTCCCTTGTCAGCTGTCAGCGCGACCGAGGGTGAGCAGACCCATACCACATATCCTCGGCGCGCCTGCGAGCAACACCTCTGCCCCAGGGCTCCCAGCTGCCAGAGCCAGGGCCAGCCCTGCCCCACAGCTCCAGTGTGTGTCCCTGGTCCCAAATCAGGGAGCCCAGGCAGCCAGAGGCAAAGCTCGGTACACAGGGTCACACACATGGGCTGCCATATGGGCATCAGGGGTCACCGTGGCCAGGGCTTCCCTGTGGGTGCTGACCAGGGCTGCAGCTGTAGGCCTGAGCCTGAAGAGGATCTAAGCTTTCACCTGTTTCTTCCACCCACCTCATCTTCCCAAACACACCGAGTGCGGTTCCTTTGGCAGCCTCGCCTTCATTACACACGTCAGTCGGAGCTGTCCCCTGGCTTTCAGGGCCCTCTGCCTCCTCCCTGCTCAGTGACACTCGGTCCTCTTCACAGGCACACGGGTGATCAAAGGTACTCCCTTCTGGCAGTGGAGACATGAGCTTGGCTAAAATGTTTTTCAGACCCCCTGTCGTAGAAGGGTCCAGAAATTGGGCACAGGAGGCCAGCCTGCCGAGCAGCTCCGGGCGGGGGCTCCTGCCCCCAGATGGCACAGTCCACCCTGCCCTACCTCACTCCATCACCCTTGTGTGGTGGCCACGGCCCCCAGCAGGGCAGACAGCAGGGCTTCCCATGTGCCCAGCTCGGCTCCAAGTGCCCACCTCCCCACTTTCACTGCAGGGTATCGACTTCTGCCCTGGGCAGGACATCTCAGGAGTCACCACACACACCCAGAAGGAGCACACTACACTGCCACTGCTCTTCCACCTGGGGCGTGACCCCGGGGAGAGGTTCCCACTCAGGTGAGTCTGTGTGTACCGTCTCCCAGGGTTCTCTGCGTGGCCTGTATGGCACACCTGCCTGGCCCTCACCTCCCCACCTGCCCCTCCCTTCTACCCCTTCTGGGCTGTAGTTCAAACCTCCAGTGATACGTCCCCTGCTCTGAGCTACCTTGAGGATAGTGAGGGCAGCGGTGGAGGCCAGCTGGGGTGTGCGTGCCGCGCAGGCCACTGACTCTAGGTCTGGCAAAAGGAGCCCTTAGAGCCCAGGCTCCCAGCTCCCAGTAAGAATCTGAGCTCCCATCCCCAGCCTCACAGCAAGGCTCGCTGGTCAGTCACCAATGAGCAGGGTGACTCTGGCCCCTTCCACCACCCAGACTCCACTTGCAGCTCCCTAGGTGTGTGTGACCCAGAAACCCCGATGGCCCTGGCCTGGCACATGGCCAAACTGGGTTGCACCCAACTCCCAGTTGCTGTCCACCATCCCTGCCCCACTGGTCCTACCAAGGCGCTCTCTGTGGACAGCCAGTCAGCCTCCTGCTTAAGACAGGCAGGGATTCAAGTAGGGCCCATGGGAATCAGGCACAGGGCCACAGAGCACTGAGGCCACTAGAAAAGACCACACCGAGTGCCTATACCCTCATAGGCGGCCTGAGCCCAGCTCTGCAGGCCCCTGGTGGGAGATGAGCCTCCCATCCACATTGTGGCCATGCCACTCGCCTTTTCATGGGAGCCCAGTATGATGACCACAGGAAGGATGTGTGGGAAGGGTTTACTGGACAGGGTCCCCCAAGTCCATGCCTATCCAGCATGTGGTAGTGTGGCTTGTGGAGACAGGGCCTTTACACTTATACCTGTAGTGATCAGAGGTGAGGTCATCCTGGACTGGGCGCCCAAGGTCCAGAGAGGAGAGGAGGCGCTAAAGAAGATGGCCATGTGGGGCTGAAAGGAGAGAGGGGCCTCTGAGTGGTGCCGAGGGAGCGGCCCCGTGCACCTGATTTCAGACCTGGGCTCCAGGACTGGGAGTGGACAGGCATCTGCCTCAAATGGAAGTTGGGTGCTCCTCCTGGTTTCTGGGGACCGCTCAAGGGCCACCACCACCCATAGGAGGTGTGCAGCTCGGGGCTGCTGGGGCTTGAGAAGGTGGACGTGGTCTGCAAGACCGGGGCACCAGGGAGCAGCCTCCACAGTGAGTGGGGTGCAGGCCTCAACCACAGCACACCGGCCCAGGCCACACCATGCCCGACACCCCACAGGCTGTTGGGAGCCGGGGAGCACCTGAAGGTCGGTGTTCAGTACAGTGATGGTCTTGCACCCCACCCTATCCAGTGGAGTGCAGCACAGCCCACCCTTGTTCCTTTCCTGTTGTTGTACCAGCGGAGGGACACAGTCCCTTCCTCCATGGCCGAGCCCACCCCATGACTTCCCGGGGGACCCCATGTCCTGAGGAGAACACCATGGGCCTCAGACAGTTGCTCCGCAGTGAGCTCCAGTGGGAAGGCGACAGCGGCCAACTGCGAGGCTTTGGGAATGTACCTGGCCACAGAGTCCCACAAAGACACACACATGCCTCAGTGACCCCTGCTTCCCGAGACCAGACAGTATGCAGGGAGGGACAGGCAGGGACCGTTCACTGGCCAGACAACATGGCTGAGGTGGGGCTGTGTGGGGGCCAGCAAGTGGAACATTGAAAGACCCAGCCCACAGCCCTGTGATCACAGTGGAAAGGAAGGCCTGGGGCTCAAAGCCACTCCTAGCCCTTCCCAGCAGGTGCTAGTGCATGACTGGGCCTAAGCAGGCCGAGGTCCCTTCCTAGGCAGCTGCTGGTTCAAAGCACTGGCCTCTTGGAGGGTGGCCATGGTAGGGTTGCTCCCAGGTGTGGAAGGGGGACAGGATCACATCCCCACAAGAAATACCTCCCTGGGACCTGAGGAGAAGGGGTGGGGTTCCAGTGGAGAGAGGCTCTCATTTTGCCCACAGCCTGCATGTGCCCAGCAACTTCACGCAGCCTGGCATCCACCATGGCATAGGGTGCGGCCCAGGGCCATTTCCTCCACTCAGCCAAAGGCATCTGGCCCACAGCACAGGTGCTGTGCGCACAGGTGTAGACAAGCCTGGGGACTCTGGGGGAGGCCTTCTGCGTCATCAGCTCCGTCTGCCCCACGCTGGACTCCGACAGTTCACCTGGCGTGCTCCCGTGTGCAGTGGCAGCTCAAGTGTCCCTTTGGGTTTCTCAGGGGGAAACATCATACACCTTGTCACCTGCATGCTGGTGATGGCAGGAATGATTTAAAGTGGTAAAAATACTTGGTCCCAAGGTGTCTCCACAGCACCTTGTTCTGGTATCTCCCCATCAAGCCTGTGGTGCACCTTGGAGTCCACACTTCCAGGGTCCTGGTCACACGGAGGTCACCCTGGTGGGGACAGCAGGGACAGCCATGTTTGTTGCTCCAGTAGGGCTCCCTGTTCTTGGTCTTAGTCCCAGGGCTCAGCCTCCTGGGGCCTCACACCACCCTCTGCCCCCGCCCACCCCAGACTAGCTAAGCACTGCAGGCTTTCCAGCCAGGCCCTGGGGGCCATCCCCTTCCTAGAATGTCCTCCCCAGACAGAGCCAAGGAAGCTGCACCCTTGGTGACCTGGGCTCCCTTGTCTCCAGCTTTGCCAGCACTGAGTACGAGGGTGCACTCAGCAGGATCACCCTGGTTGTCCAGCAGCACCAGGACAGCTTGGTCCCCGGACAGCCGCAGCTCAACGTGTGTGACCAGGCAGTCATGGTGAGTGGTGTGCATGCAGGCCACAGCCGGCACTCCTTTGCCCCAGACCCCCACGGTGCCTGACAGCCATCAGGCTGCAGCTTATGGGGGCCCAAAGCAGTGGAACGGCGGTCCTGTCCTGTGCACAAATGCCCTGGGGCACCCAGGCTGTGAGGATACCTGCTTCCCTCCTGCTCCTTCCCACAGACGTTTTTTGGGGTAGAAGGAGGGTTCCTCAGCCCTCTGCAGCTGCAGGGTGAGCCTGAACTGGAAGGGACTCAAGGACGATACAGAGCAGCAGCAGGCCTGGGAAGCCACACTGAGCTCTCTGCTGCTGCGCAGCGCCCTCCAGCCCCGGGCCATGCTCCTTGCCCTTCCCCTCCCCATGACCCCTTGCTAGGGGTTGGATATGAAGTGCGGGGATAGAGCCGAGTGGATGGGGAGGGGCTCGCGGCCTAGACAGGGATGAGGATCCGAAACACCCTCCCCAGCTGCAGCCAGGCCTGGAGTGACTGCTCTTGTCTTGAATTTGGTTCCCTAGAACTGGGCACCCCCAGGCTGTGAGAAACTTGGCAAGTGTCTGCCGCCTGCAGAGTCCGTCCTGGAGAAGTGTTCCTGGCCTCATTAGCATGTGCTTGGACCCAGGTCAGGCCCAGGATCTCCCTGCTAGCGCCTGAGCGAAGGAAGCATCCCAGGCAGAGGGCACCTGCGACCAGCAGCAGCACCTGCCCACTACCCCTAGCCCAGTTCTCTGTTCCATGCCCTGGAGGGCTCCGGCTGCTGCTTCAACCCGAATGTTGAAGTTGCCGGTTCTGTGCTGAGCCCACGATGTTGTGGGCCTAGTGGATGGAACATCGCAGAGACTGAAGGACAAGAGCCTGGCACACGCACCTGGCTGCCCGGAGCACGTGGGAGGAAGTGTTCATCTGCCAGGGCTGTCATGCCCACGCTGGGCTGCTGCACAAGTTGGGAAATAACAGAAAAATAAAAGAATGAGCGGCATCTCCGTTCTGTAGCTGTGGTTTTTTAAGCAGGGCGTGGTGCTTGGGAATGCTACACTCTGGGCAAGTGGGGCCCCAGCCCAAGGTAACGCCCTCGCCCGGCACTGCGTGGCGAGCGCCTGGTCGCACCAGGCAGGGCCCTCCTCGTTCCAGCC